TAGAGACTGTATCCAGCGACGTATCACATTGTGCTTCGGGAAACTTGTAGGAGGATTGAAAGCTGGGATAAATTCGGGAACATTTCCTCAGCACCAGCTTCAGCACCCGTAGTGTGAAATACAGGGTGGGCCAAAATTATGATTACAGCGCGCGCTGACGTTCATTGCAAATTTTTTCTATGTTAATAACAATTCATTGAATTTCTTCCATTTCACAAAGTAGCTTACGTTATTACCTTTCTAATGATACTAAACTTTGGGTAGATTTTTAACATAATATAAGCGTAACTAGTCCGTGAATTAAACGTAGCTTTTCATTTACGAACACTTTTGGCACGGTGCATCTACAGACGAACTGGCGAAACAAGGCAGGTATTGCATTCAACCATAAGACGCTCTCGAGAGTTGGGAACAATTGCAGATAGGAGTGGTTAACCTAGGAGAGCTGTGGTTATATTTAGGGGAAGTGTCAAGATAGCAGGGCAAAGGTCTACGTAGGAGCAAAATTCATTCTGAGTCCAAAAAGACTAAATGAATGGATATGTCAAGAAATTTTCTGCGTGAAATCGTGAAGCATCACCTGCACAACGAGACCCCTATACGGTCGTAAAGTGATTTCCCCAGAGAGCAATTTAAAGAGAAGAGAAAGGTTGGCTAACAAAAGCTGCCTGTCGCATCCGAAAAAACTGTCCTACGGAATTCCTGTTCACCGACGAGAAAAGATTCACAGTGAAATAGGTGCTCAATAAGTAGAGCGATAACATTTATATGAAGCTTAAAGAAACGAAAGTGATACAGCGCCTGGCTCACTAACTTTCTGGGATGGTCTGCACCAGCATCACCGCCGGGGCGAAGACACCGATTATTCTTGTAAATTATGGAGTGGAAGTTGGTTTGAAGACCTGTTTGTTCTCTTCGTGCGCAATAGAACACTTTTGCGATTCAAATAGGACACATTGTCAAGATGAAGCTCCCGACCGCAGACGAGAAATTTCGTGAAAGTGGTTTTTTGTAATCAATCATAATCATAATCTTCAATCAGTGATCACTCTGGAGCCCTGACCTAAATCCCATGAATGTCTCAATGTGGTCAGCCTCTGAGATGAAAGCATCCTTTAGCCCAAACAAGAGAAGAAATTATCTCGAGAATGCTTAGCAAAAAGCCGGGACCACTTCGATGACCCTAGCTGCGTGCCACCGTCAATGCCGTCCATCGTCGTCTTTGGGGTTGGGTGAAAGCAGGAAGCAACAGATCCCAGTCTCAATGTACAGTTTTGATAAGAAATTTGTGATAAACACTTTAATGAAATTGGTTTGCTCTATTGGCATTCTATTCGTTTTCTGCGATGTGATTTCTGTGTAATCATAATTTTGGCCCACCCTCTATACGTACACTCTGGGATCTCAACATTTCTTCCACGCTGAAATCCTTTAGTCAGGAAAGTGTTTCGAAGAGCGTGCCCCATGCAAGTAGCGCACGCATTTGTTTTTTCTCTCCAACTTCTCGTCAAGAAGCTTACAAGGCTCCCGAATTCTATTTGGATACATTGTATTTACTCGGGGTAGACACTTCATCGGAGTAGAACATACAAACAAATCAGCAGTCACTTTTCTCGTGTTTCTGCAGATTCCGCAGCGTACCTTTTTCCAAGAAAGTATAGCCCGAAAAGGGGTTGTATGTGAGACAATACGAACGTTTTGAAGTTTGTCGTCGACCCGGTTTGTCGCAATTCAAGCAACTGTTATTTGGGAAATATTGAAACGAAGAGCGATCCTGGAGAAGGACTCACCATATGCGCGCAAAGACATAGCGGTCGGTGGATGTCTGCAAGTCTCCGCCGTTTTTCGAAATCTGACGAATCGAGAGCACCAAAGTAGATATGTGGGCTAGGGTATATCAAAACGGAAGGGAGAGTGCACTTTTGAAGGAACCCTCCAAACAAGAAAATCACGGACGCCCGGAAAGTTGTTACCATATTTGTGGCGCACCCTGTAAAGTGGAGTGCAAACCATTCATACCTTCTGTGTTCTGTTAGACACATGCTACTCAACTGATGCTTCTTATGGACCCCCTTTTTCTTGATCTCGAGGCTCTCAGCTGCGTCTCGAAAGTGCTGAGCTACCTCTCGCAATGCATCAACGATCAACGACCTCTGAAGGTCCGCCCAGTGTTCGATATATGGTCTGTTGCCCTCTTCCCTTCTTTGGGAGAACACCAGCTGAACCAATGCCTCCGCGCGGACCATGTTTTTGATAAAACACATTGGAATGAAATCTTTTCTAGATACACTATCACCCACTGATGACTACTATGCATGTGCACGCGTCGGGAACGCTCTCTTGAAGGAGGTCTTCACTCACTTTATAAAACTAGTTCATAATAGCGTATCCACTTGTGTGCATTTTGAATGCTACAGTGGAGGCACGTGAGCGGTTTACTCTTGAAGACCCTTGGTTCAGTCCCTGCGGTGGCAAAAACCATGATCTGCAAAACTTTTGTAGATGATGCCGTTGTCAACATCAGGAACAGGCTGAAATACCAACTGATGGAGAAACGAATATGTTATAATACCAACAAATATGTTGAAGTTCGCAAAGGGAATCAGTTGCAAAGCGAGGAGATCACTTGGAAAAAAAGCGCCGAATCCCCTCTCCATTTCTGTCGACAGTTTTAAATTTTACCAAGCAGTCAACAACATTGACTAGAGAGGGTAAATTGTGTTAGGGGCTCTAAATATCGGATCGCTCGCTGGCAAGTCTTAGGAGCTTGTTGACTTGATGAAGCGCGCAAGCTTGTCCAAGTCTTCGAGGGGGCACTGGGAAGGATCAAAAGCCAGAGAAATTGGAGAGAGCGTCAAATATAACCTCATCAGAAAGGACGCTGAACGAGTGGGGTGTTCATGGCAGGAACGGAGTCTCTCAGAGATTCTGCCTCCATTCTCGACAGACCGCAGTTCGGCTATAAGGAGAAACACAAAAGAGGTAGTGGAAATAGTATACATATGTGCACCACTCACCGGGTATTCCGAAAAACAACAGGGTGAGTTCTAACTAAACTTGATCAAGCAATTATAATGGGTAAAATCAAGTAAGGAACTATCTCACAATACAAGGTTATCAGAATGTTCCTGTTAGGTTGAAAGTGACCGGGGTAGGGGGAGGGTTTGAAAGAGTTCGTGGAGGGAGAGGAACAGGAATCGGGAAAAGATTCTTGAGCTGGTGACAAGCCATGTCGGCAGGTGATGAAGAATTTTCGAAAAAAGCACCTGGCCTTTCTCGATCTACAGAAACGAACGCAGGAACGGAATGTCCTACAATATCTTATCTCCCTGGTGATGGACGTTTACGATTGGGTCCGAAACAGCCATTCGCACACCTCACGGCTTCACAAAGCTCAGGGCTGATCTTGTTGTAGCTCTTACTATTAGTAAAGGTTCTAGTTCCTACTTTCATTGGATCCATCATAAAAGCGCTCATGGAAAGACAAGCTGCAGGAATAGGCTGACAAAAAATTGATTTCGTTAAACGTGAAGAATCGAGTTCCTTGGTTCTGAGGAGTGAGCAGTCGAGTGTACCATCACAGGGAAGTCTTTATATGAGTAGTTCATTTTGGGAAGTAGCCTAGCCACCTGCGCCTGGATCGGGTTGTGAAGGACCAAGCAAACGCGGCCTGGATGAAGCAGAGAGAAGCTAGTAGCGTCCTCTGCTGGCTACGGTGCTTCAGGAAGGCTAAGTCAGTCGGCAGGAAGCATGAAAAGGAACTTTTTCACACTGAGGTCAGAGTGTCAAGATAGTTCCGTGGTCGGTCGCGGTTGGATCGGTTTAGAAAAGAGGACTCAGAACGGTTATGCAGGCAGCTCTCACTCACATAAGCTGAGAGAACAGCTTTTGATGGTATGGGTACATTCTGCGGACAGCACGAGAACAGCCATTCGGAAAAGCGAAGAATTTAGATGCCCACGTTGAGTGGCGACTAAAGGACCCCATGAAAATGTGGAGTGAAGTGATTAAGAGAATCTTTCTATAGCTAAGTTAAGTCGGCAGGTTATAACTAGCAAATTCCTCAAAATCATATCTGCGCTGTTGACAAAGTGGAGAAAGTGGAGCACTCCTGAACAACTAGCCGGATAGTGTCTTGTAATTGTGCCCTATAGCAACATGTGAAATTATGGAAAAGAGAAGAATTATGCAACTTAAAAATATGGTTTATTGCAGGAGTGCCTGAAAAGTGGACATGCGAGAAGAGATATCTTTTGAAGATGGATATATTATAATCGTTAGAGATATACAGTAATATGCAGTAGTTTTGCATCGCGCCTTTACTGTTCTACATCCATTTATTTCTATTCCTTGCGATGCATTCCCGTCGTCTTTTTACAGTGTATCGCTGGAAGCGTCCCTCAGACGTAGTAACTGTCCACGTCATTATTGTGTTATTCTGACAACTTCTGACATGAGTTCAAAAAACAGTAAACGGATACAAAAAGAAAATAAGTAAGTGATAGTAATTCAAACACTATAATAGGAAACTATACTGATTTTCCAGAGTTAAAGCCCGTGATGTGGCGGTTCGGAACTGTGTATGTAATGAATGGTAATAGTGTAGGAAATCGCTTGAATCCAGACAAGAATTGACAGAACAGGCTAAACAACCTGAGGAGTACATTTATTTAATTAATTTCATAGAAAAGGTTTTTGAGTGCACTCTAGAGAACATCGTGGTGATGTCCAAGTGCGAAATGTTGAAAATTTCCTGTAGTCATTATCATAGGAGTAATTGCTGCTTTGTCACAGCATGCTGTGAGGAAAAGTGCTAGTTAACGAAAAAAACAGCCCAGAGTTAGTGAAACCTGCCCAAAAGAGAGTAGTTCAGGTGGAAAAAAACCTATTATTGCGTGGTCATCTGAGTTCTGATCATCGTTCCTTGAGCATGGCCGAGACTGCTGAATGTTCTTCACTGTCAGATGTACGGCACCTGGCAACGAAGATTGAGGTAGAAGCTAAGATCCAAGGTATGTTTCCTTCTGTGAATCTCAATACTGACGAATCACTTTAGAAGAAGCGATGAATGCGAGACCATAGTGGGCCTGGTGAAAGTCAACCGCTTCTCTCCGAAAGAACAGGTTATTTCGTCGGGTTCATCAGTCTCTGAGGAATATTCGGGAAGACTCCATCACAATTTTGAAAGCTGATTCATAGAATTGATTGTCAGCTTGAGCTGCGAAAACTTGGTCGTTATAAGGTTGTATTAGCCGGTTCGAAATTGAGCGGAACCTGAGAAACAAATGTAAGGGTCTAGTGTAGACCTGAGAAAAGAATAAAACTTTTTTCAGTAACTTGTGAGTAACTCCTGGGCCGTTGATGAAGTTGTTTATTCGGAAGAATAGTAGGCACAGAGCAAAAAAGTGTTCAATCAGCAGAGCTTATATACTGGGCAAACCTTAGTAATGCTTGACGTAAAGGGAAGCATTTCTCCACAAATCTGCCATTTGACATGATTTCACAAGAATTTGTCTTATATTTGGCTGAAGTGACTGAACATAGGCTTTTCATGAAGTTTGAAGAATTCAAAGACGTGAACGGTTTGAATTTCGGCTGAGACAATTCACTTTGATTTTCTTCCTTATTTCTATGAACCGTGACGGCATTCATCTACTGTTGAGAACCGAATTCCGCGGAAGGGTAGTGAAGCGTATCATTTCTTCATTTACAGCTTCCTGGAAAAGTGCTGGTTATCGACCCTGTGGTTGTGTGGTGCTCGTTTGTTGCTTAATGAGTTCAGTCAGTTGCGGATTGTGCCTACTGGTCATCGCGAGTGCCATTAACCTATCCGGCCCCCTTGCTGTTCTATTCGTCCGCGTCGCTCTGATCTTCGCTGGCTGACGATGTTCGGAATTTTAGATGCCTCCTGCTTGTATGTATAGGGTGACTAAGCCCTTGTCCTTTTCACAGTGACGATGATCGATCTGGCTCCACAGAGCCCAGGCCTCTGGATCATAGGTCGGAGCGGAATTGTCATAAAGTATGTTGGCGTAGGCGCGGGTCTTCGTCTTCTCACTGCTCCAGTGTTCCGAAAACTTCACAAGTGTTCAAAGTTTTTAAGTTTTCCTAGTATGCTCCGAAACTTTCCATGCAACAATTAAGAGCAAGACATATGATATTATATGCATGGGAGTATGTGGTGTCCTTTTACACAGTAGTGGCATGAAAACTTGGAGAACATTCACGGAATACCTTTGCTTTTGCGAACTTCTCGGCAGATATAATGTTTCCCAAGCAAATTGTCACCGACACCGTTAAAATGGATCGTTTAAAAAGCAGGATTGAGTAAAAAGATGAGAAAAGTGTTGGTAGTCCACAAACCTCTCACTATAACAAGGTGTTTTCGCACCCCTGCCTGCCTGCCGCCAGGTCAATCCAAGCTCAGAGGGTTGCACCCACATTGGAGCTTGAATCTTTTCCCCTACCCCCCCCCCCCCCCTGACCAACGACTCTTGAACAACACAATTCGTTTAGCCTTTGTAGAAAGTTTTGAAAGCCCAAGTAACTACGTAACTCGAAATACTTTTTTACCTTGCAAATGCGAGGTGGGTGCTCGTTTACATTGAGGAAGAAACGTGATCATGCAGCAGAGAGCAAGTTTTCTGATGAGTTCTTTGCATTTTTTTTTGGCGTAATTACTTCGAGCAGATATTTCTCAAAGCCTTTTTCGTTACAAATATACATACATACATGCAAACAGACACACCGAACTTGTGGATTATGTATATGTAGAAGGGATAATTATTATATATCTGGAACACATTAGGAGGCTTTTATTAATATACCCTTCTTAAGAGTTGTCGTCTACTGTAACGGAAGGAGGAATGAATCGAGCTCTTGCGTGCTCTCATTCAACCATTCACTCCAATCTGAAATGCAAGGATGAGGGTAAGCCATCACTAAATGATGTTGGTGGAATGGATGTGGAAAAACGTACACTTCTCGAGGTGCTGGTGTGGCCGACGAAGGTCTGTTCAGCGTGTTTTCGCTACGTCTTTGATCTCTCATTCATATATTTATATATTTTTAAATTTATTTATTTATTTATTTACCACACAAGATAGCTCATGTGAACAAGATAATAAAAGAACAACCGTTGAACAAAAACCATCTTAACATTGGGCAAATTTCTGGAACAATATAAGAAATTAGGACTGAGCCTTCAATAAAAAGAAACATTGAGTGTCGGTCATTGTGAAAAAATGCCATGAAGGAAAAGGAGGGGTCAGGGATTTCATGAATTCAAGCACTTGTCTAGATATTTTCTGAAGGAACTATGAGACGCTGAGGCATACATTGCTTGTTCGTGAAAAAGAGACGTCTACAATTCAATCTAGCTCGATCCGCATCAACTTTCCTGCTACCTCCTCTAGTAACGGATGGTCTGAGAATCTAGAGATCGTTGAATGGCATACCGATTTCGCCTTGGAATAATTTATGAAATAATAAGAAATCGTTTCGCTTGCGCCTCAACTGCAAGGTTGCTAGACCGAAGTTTTTTTCCTAGTTTCGCTAGAGGGGATTTGGTCGTACATGAAACCTAAGCCCTAATCATTAATTTCCCTGTGAAACGGTTTGGACGACTTCCAGTTTTTTGATTGCTTTGACCTTTTAAGGACTGAACACAGGCGTACTGTGCTCCAAAAGGAATCTTACGTAGGTATTGAAAGCTTGCATCAATACGGGTACATTAGACCACTCCATCCATGCCGCGTTTATTAGCTTCGTCTACGCTACCATCAGCGGCTAGGTCTCTTCTAAAATGCAGGAAGTCTTCCACTTCCCAACTACCTTCCCGTAGCGGCCAACGATTGGCTCTTCCTACTTCTCTGAGCTGAGGAACTTGATCTTCTTAGTATTCATCCTGGTCCAGTGTCAGCACGCGTTACCATATCTGCAGCTTGTCATGGAGTTCTTCCCAACATTCTGCTGTGAAAGATCTCACCAAGAAAGAGAATGGTTGCCACTACTCCCTTCATGAGCTCTACAAAAACTTCTATAAGTGGAACCGAACGCCTTTATGCTAGAGGAGTCGTACTTTCCCAACACTTGCTCTTCTTCTAGGACGCTGAGTATCCACCACTTTTAAATCGTTTTTGAACTTTTTGGAATTTATGCAAACTTAAACATAAAAACATGAACGTTCAATCTGGCTCTGAATCTAGCTCTTTGATAGACTCGTGGAAAAAGTTACCTTAGATACAGTTTTGGTAGAATATCTCTCATTTGGGATTTAAACCCATAGCCTAAGTTGAGAAGAAAGGGTATCATATCTGAGCTGAGGCCCCGTTCGCGTAAAACATATTGGTTTCAAAACAAAAGACCTAAAGTACTCTAATTAGATATAATTGTCTCATTCCTAGTACTGATTGCCAATTCCCGCAAGAATTTCAGTCTTTCTCCTTCAAAAATCTCCTTTCCTACTGAAGAAATAATTTTCCGTTCATCAGGAGCTTGGAATTTACGCTTTTTTATTGGTGTGTCATTCATGCTTCTGCCTGCTGCCAGATATGAGAAAGAAGAAGGGTACATTGTCCTGTGAATATGAAGGATGAGGCACTGTTCTGAGGTCAGAGTCAGTCCGGCATTGCTTCTCTATTTTCGCTTGGGGCCTGTAAGATTGTTGTTAACTGCATCATAAGGTGGCATTATATTTTCGATTAAACTATAGTGAACCACCACAACAGAATTATAACGGTGCCGCACAGGTGCCGTTATCGTTCAAACTTGCCTTTATGAAATAATACCCATCCGCCATGTTACCATAGACGGGTTTTTTGCGTCTTAAGTCTTACATATGTATTAGGGTGTCTGAAAAGTTTTCACAAAATTTTGCCTCTTAACTTCGAAAGTATATTTTTCGAACGCGATAAACAAGTGCCATAGATTTAATAGGAGAGAAAGGGCATTGCTGATAAATCAGTGCTATAACTGATCGGCATTTGACGTGGCCGCTCGAACTACTCGTCGACCAAACTATGTGCCATCGACACGACTTCCAGAGCCTTTCTCTTCTCCATCACGAAACCGATCGCTCCGACACTCAAGCTTGGAGATATAGTGATTGATTGGCAGCGGTCCACCCTCTCGTCACCTACCATAAGTGGCCCGAGATTTGCTTCGACGAAGTTTGCTGAAGCGAATTCACATTGTCATCAAGTCCCGACTTTGTTCTGGCCTCCCGCCAGAGCAATCTCAATGTCGCAGGAAACGGGAGAGACTATCGCTGCTTCATAATCCATCATTCATGACGTTTTCCGCAAAAGTCACTTTGAAACAAGACTTGGAATATTGCCCACTGCTTGGCTGAGCAGGAGCTCGAGTGCGACTCAGTATGTGTCAGAAGCTCTTCAACTGTAAGCGAACAACAACATCAACCAATTTCGTTCTTGCTCAGGGTAAAAAGTACATGTCATTTAAAAACCCACACAGGAAATCGCAATGCCTACCAACGGAAGTAGGCCACAGCCCGTTATGGCGAAGCGCTCACGCTAAGAAAGACATGAGCTCATTCTTCCTCTGCTCAACCGGGCGGTTTACTATGGGATCCGACCAGAGTGCACTGCGGGAAACGCAAAAAGTTCTGTCACCTTCTAAGAGAGATGGTATTCCTATCTCTCTTCTCCCACCGATGACAAGGAAGTTTTCGGTTGTGGTGGAGAATGCTCGACCACCTCGCGAGAGGACCTCGACCCGGACAAGCTGGAAAGGGTTGCTATAACCTGACCACCCACTCCCCACATATCACATTCACCTGACCTTGATCCATATTACTGCCATAGTTTCGGGAGCCCGCAGACCTGCTTTAAAGGGAAAAAATTCACCAACTGTCAAGAACTCAAGTAGGTGGTAGATGTGTAAATTGCGCCACGCCTCTTCATATTGGGAGAATAGCATCAGCGCCTGTCCGGTTGATGGAGAGACATCGTGGCTAAGAAAGACCTCTTTCTTGATCACTGATCTAAGTTTGTTGCTATAATCATTTTGCGTTGAAAAAACCAAGTGGATTTTCTCAAAACTTTTCGGACATCCTAATACTAAAACAATGGAACCCTTTTGTAGTTGCTCTCTGGTGGTTCATCATGGATTATGCTTTCCCATCGAATGAATTTCATTCAACTTTAGCAAGTTGATCTTGCAAAGTGTTTGGCTTTAAACGAGGAGTCGCACTCCATCCATATTTGATAAGCATAGCACCATTAGGCACCATGGTATTCTGGATAGTGATTGCTGCGAAAGATGTAGTGGTGCTTCTTCATCTTTGTGAACAATAGATTTTGCATAAGAAAAGAACTTGGCATTCTTCAGCGAACTGCTCCTCTGAAAGGATTGTTAACTATTGATGTATTACAAAAATAAGCTGATAAAAAGTTGATGAAATGGCAAATAGCGATTGACCTTAAAGAGACGTGCCGCAAGAATGGTTTAAAATGTTCTTGGCACTTTTTCTTTCTTTCGTCAGTTGTATTATTTTGAGAGTGTGAGTATCCCTACTCCGCTGCCCATCATGTATCTAGAAAGTGCGGAAAAGCCCTTCCAAAAAAAAAAAGAAAATCCGTGATACATGCGATTTCCTGCCGACAATCTTCTGTGATATTATGTAAAGAAATAGCGTACCCCCAATAGTGTAAGCTAGTATGTGCAAAAGTACTGGAAGGTGAACGGTTTTCTTCTCCGCGTAGTTGTCTTGAAACACCCTTAGAACGATTTTTTCTAGTTTTACGATCAGCAGCGGTGCCAACCAGGAAATTCAATGTGAAATATGCTTCAATCTTCTCTTTTTTATAATATATGTGGTGGAGAAATGAAAGCACCTTTCGTTAACATTTTGGCAGGTTACTACATATGCCTTTTATATTTCGGGATTTGAGAACAGGAACAAATTCTTCTTTTTGCCTTTCAAAATTTTCCACATTAAGATCTACACACTTTTGCATGGTCTTGAACCAATTTTCGAAGCACTTTTGCCACTCTGATAAAGGTAACTCTGAAACATGCATTCCGAACGAATCAACGGCTTCTTCAGGTGTCGAAAAACGTTGACCTCTCATTTTATTTTTTACGTACGGGATGAGAAGAAGTCACCCGGGGGACTACATGGCTGATGACCTGTCATATCGTTTTTTTTNAGCAGTTGATTTTCCTGATTTTTTGGAAGTCAACTGGCAAGCAAATGGTGGTATACCACTCAGAATTGACTGTTCTGCTTGTTCTAGTGGTACGGTTGCGACATGTCCAGTCTTTCTAAAAAACAGGAGATCAAATGCTCGGAAGTGCCTGGTGCGCGGACAGCTTTTGTTGGATTTGGCTCATTTTTAAATACCCATACGGTCGACTGCTGTTTCCTTTCGAGCTCATACGCATAAATCCATGATCCATCACCTGTCTCGATGTCATAGACGTGTTTCGAAACACCGCCACCGTATTTTTTAAGCACTTATTTTGACCGATCGACACGAGTCCCTTTTTTGGGGGATTGACAAATTTTTCAGAAACAACTTTTCTTATTGTCAAATGTTCATGCAATATTGAATGTAAGCCAGTCCCACTAGTGCCCAAGGTTGCATCAATCTCACGATTGGTCACATGATGGTCTGGCAGTATCAGTTTGTGCACAGCATCAACCGTTTCCGGAACGACAACTGATTTTGGACGACCTCCACGAAACTCGTCTTCGAGTGAACCACGATCTCGGGTGAACTCACTGGGCCATCGATAAACACTGATTCTGGATGGAGCTTCATCACCAAAAATTGAACTGAGTCCATCCATGCATGCTGTTGAGTTAGTCCACGTCGAAAGTTGCAGGAAATAATCGCGCGAAAATGCTCACGGTTAACCCCATATCTTGGCCTAAACAAAATCTTATAACGTAGTGTAAACAACACAAATCGCGCTCAAATTTCGTAACGGAACCTCAAAATAGTCAAACTTGACGATAGTGGGTCAAATGCTAGATTGCTACACTAGAGTTTCCAAATCCCGAAATATAAAAGGCAACCCTCGTACAAATGGTAGTTGTAGGGTAGTAAGCGTGATTATATTAGGTGTGTGCATTAATTTCCGCCGCTGAATTCCAAGGGCCGTTGCGCGAACCATGTTAGACGTTTACCAGTGAAACCTGTCATGTTCTGTAAGGTAGGGTATTGGCTACCTACTTAAGGGCAAACGGATCAGTTTTGCTCCAAAATCTATTGCTCTCAGACTGATTGGTCATGGAACGTGATGAACCATTTCCCTTGGGAGCCCTTCCCCTGCGGTTTGATTTCAAGAAAACTGGCATTGAAGCCCACCGGATCCTTCTATGGAGGACAATCTTCATCTGAACGAACCTGCTGAGATGGTTTCTCCTTACTCGAGAGCCTGCAACGAGAGCGGAATGTTTATTGCCAAAAAGTAATGCCGTGCGTGCATTTGGTGGTGGGATCGAAAGGGTGTTTTAAACTATGAGCTTCTGCGCCCGAACGAAACTGTTACTGCTGACCGCTACGAACTCCAACTTGACAGTTTGTAGGATGCTTTCACCTAAAAGCGGCCGTTAATCGCAAGAAAATATCTTGAGATGCTGTTCCACCACGAACATGCCAGACCCCATGTTGCCTAGAATGTCCTTTAAAAAAAAATTTCAGTTGATCAGCTTGTTCAGCCCGCGTACTCTTCGGATCTTGCTCTTTCTGATTACCACCTATTCTGGTCCACGCAAGTCGTTTTGGCAGATATACGCTTCCGGAATGCCGAAGAAGTGCGAAAATGGGTGGATAACAGGATTGCCTCAAAAGATGAAGACTTTTTTAGACCCGGAGTCAACAAGATGCCAGAAAGATGGTAAGAAGTTGTAGCTAATGATGGGCAATACATTGGTTAATGTACATGTTAGTTTTAATTTTGTAATTAATATGTTTTTGCACGCGAAAAACGGCGGAAGTCAATGCACACACTAATATTAGGCAACCGACCGCTATGTTAAATACTAAGTATTCTTGTATTGGTTTCTGTTCCTGAAGGCGAATAATTTACTTTTCTTCTACTATTCCGTTCATGCGTCGTTCTTCCAAATTTTTGAGAGTCTGTTCTAGCACAAAAAGGTGTATGAGTCTTACGGAATTTGTCCTGGCAAAGGAATCTTGTTGCATGGGCCGAGTGGATGTGGAAAAACGCTTTTGGCTAAAGCAGTGGTGGCTCATTCTAAAATCAACTCCATCTTCGTGAAGGTGATGCTTTTTTCTTCTTGTGTATATTAAGGTAAGTCCACTGCGTATGTTGTTTGTCTCTGTTCTGTTTCTCAGAACTGTCTTTTACGGCTCTCTAGGGTAATTCGCATCAAAAATTCATAATGCCGTTGAGACACGCTCTCGAGCCTAAGAGGGAGAAGGGTCCACCAAAGTTAAAAGGGTCTAATATTCATAAAAAGCATGTGCGCAAAGTGGGAGGAGCCTAGATTCATTGTCACTCAACTCGTTCTAAAACGTTTTGGAATAAGAGAAGAAATGATAAGAGTAAGTGCTCTACTTTCTATATTTCGCAATCCTGTTCACAATATTTTAGACTAGGAGGTGAAGGGTAATAGGGGCAAATGTAGGGGAGGCAGCCATTCATAGCAGGCCTGTTGTACAGAAACGGCAGAGCTATAAGAAAATCCTCAGTCTTGTACAGAAACGTCATAGAGTTTGGCATACAAATGAACGGAGGCAGGCAAAGGTGGGGAAGACATCCACCATGTCGTAGTACCAAGATGGACAAAGCTCCACTTCCCTTGAAGAATGTTCCAAAGTCCATGATCATAGTGAAAAATTGGTAGAAAAGGGCGAGAGGTCAAATTTGATAGCTGAAAAGGGCACAAAAAGTTGCAGGACTATGATTCACGACTTTCATGAATCGTAGTCAAGAAGTTAATGGCTGCAGTCGGGATGAATACGCAAGAAGGAAGGTTTTCAATTCAAAGTTGATAGCTCTGTTTGGAGACGTCGTGGAGTCCCAAAACTTGTCGGAAGAGATAAGCTAATCAGGAAATTCTGAAACATTGTCACACTTGGACTTCAACAAAAGTGGCCCGTTCTGGAACTGATCAGAACTTTTGGCAATGATTTGGAGCAGTCTGCAGGTAGAGCACAAATGTTCGCAGTTAGGAGTGTATCGCAGTAGTACTACTCAGATCAAAGAATTAATGACGGGCCGCCGAGGAGTATGGAGGAAAGGATTGAACGGTCGACTCCTCAATAATCTCGTCATAATCTGTAGTGTAGGAAAGGGAGACGGTGAAGCGGAAAATTTAGTGTGCTACGAACGGCGCGGTTTATTGCATTTGCATAAACCCATGCATGTGTGTCCGTTTATGCGCATGTCTGACGATCACGAAAGTCGTGCTGCTCTCCTTTTACATGTAGGGCCTCTAAACTTTGAAAACATACATGGGGCATTTTGAAAATTTGCTACTTGCGACCAGGCTGACGGTCTATATAGCTCATCATTGATTTGTCCTATGATTGGGGGGGGGGGGGG